ATAAAAGCATTCTTTTTTTGCAGTATTTTGTATTCGTTGTTAATATATCTTTATGACCCTCCTGAATTAGGCGATGGAGATTTTGGCTCATACTTTGGAAAGCGAGTCAAATTTGCAAAGGAAGGTGGACTTATTTTTTCTTGTTGATTCTATTGCTCAGTGCTCAAAAGGTCTGAAAGGTAAGTCATAGATGCAATGTGTTTTGCTAAGCTGCATCAGCGAAATTCTAACGGTGGAATTCATCATAAAAAACTTCCTTTCTTTTCAGGTGATGCAGGTTGTGTTTATCTTTCAGCCATTCAAGTAATTTTACCTCGCCTATTAGCAGCTGCTGTCCCTGCTGGAGCTACAACACAAGAAAATCGGAGACAGTGCTTAAAGGTATGGGATAAAATTTGCTACCTCTTTCTTTCTTTTTGTTATTGTTTCTCAACCTTCTGCTATCTATAGGTGTTGAGGCTTTGGCTTGAAAGACGGATCCTGCCTGAATCTATTGTTCGTCACCATATAAGAGAACTTGATTCACATAGTATAGCTCCTACTTGCCTTTATTCTCGGCGCTCAGCTCGAAGAGAAAGGTCATTGGATGACCCTGTGAGAGATATGGAGGGTATGCTGGTGGATGAATATGGAAGGTTAGATTTTGGGTCTTTTAAAATTCCATTTGTCCTTGTCTCAAGAGTCATTAACCTAATTCATCTTTGCGTGTCAGTAATTCTACTCTCCAGCTCCCTGGATTTTGCATGCCTGCAATGCTTAAGGATGAGGATGGAGGGAGTGACTCGGATGAAGGGGATTTCGAGTCTGTCACTCCTGAACATGAGTCCAGAATCCTTGAAGAACACGTCTCGTCCTCCACTGCTGAAAGGCATACGCTTATATTGGAAGATGTTGATGGCGAGCTTGAAATGGAAGACGTGGCTCCGCCGTGGGAAACTGGAAACTGCACACATACTGATCAAACTGATAATACAATGGCTACCACCAGTTGTCAGGTTGGACAACAGCAACGTCCTGTCTCTGGCACTTCTCATCAGCATGTGTCCTCGTCATCTCCACCACTGCCATCTTCCTCGCCAGCACCTCCACCGCCGCCACCAGCTCCCCCTTCACAGCAGGCTCAGTGTGCCATGTCTGATTCCTATTCAAATGGATTTGACAGCGGTGGATATCCCAGCGTGCATGTACGCCAGTTTTCTTGCTTTAGGATCCTTTTACAGTAAACGTGATGATAATTATGGTCACTTATCCTTTTGGAGCTTGTAAAATAAACAGGGAGATCATCAGGCTGGGCCTGTAAGGATGAACCCRCCAATGCCTGGAAATACCATGCAGTATCAAGGTCCATAGTCATCTTATAGTTCTGGTGTGCAACTGACGAATAGCATGCCACAGGCAGATGGTTCTAATTTTCAGCATAGGCCTTATCCATCTCATCCACATCCTCCTCCCCCTCCATCACAGCATCAATATTCATATACAGAGCAGGGCCACCATATAGAGTCACGTAGGGATGGTCCATCGTACTCCCACAGATCTCATTATGTGCCGAATTTTGATGAAAGAAATTTCCATGATAACCATGAGGGAATGAGGCATGCGCCGTATGAGAACCGAGATAATTGGAGATATTCACCACCTTCTTCTTATGGTAAGGCCTTGTATCCCCATGACTGTGTTAATAATAAAAGCATATATATGCACACGGATGCATGTCAATAGTCATAGATACTTTCTAAAGAGGTGGGAATGGGAAGTCTGATATGATCATTTCGCAGGTTCAAGATAGCCAGACAAACACAAAGGCCCTTATCCATCCAGTTCACACAATGCTGGGCCTCCACGTGAGTCTGGAAGGTTCCAGGACCATCGGTGGGATCATCCTCCTCGTCCATATAACAACAGACACTCTTTTCACCTTAAGCCCCATTCTGAAGGTCCTGTTCCAGTTGGAATGAGAGGTAGGGAAGTTTGAGACGTTTATGCTCCTTGGCCTTTTAAACACTGTTTTTAATTTTTATCTCTGTTTATCGGGAAGTGTACTCTTGCTCGGAATGATCAACCGTAGAGACATGAAGGCCAATTATTTATACTCAGCTTCTAGTGAGCCATACGCAACATTATTTTGCTTGGATTGTGTCCTAGGGTATGTTGAGGTATATTTGGCATATAGTGAATGAGGTAAAGGATTCATAGGCGATAACACCATCATTTGTTGATTTGTGCTGATCCAGGCAGTGGCATCAGAGAGGTGAGTAGAGAAACTTGAGAGAGAGGCGGAAAATGGTAAAGAGGATGGTGGTGTGAAGCATAAACACCGAGGTGATGTGGCTCTAATTTGAAAAGAGGATGTCTAGTTATGGAAGTAGAGATGGAATAGATGATGAAGTGAGAGTGTACATAAGGTATGTTGTTTCTTTTGGAATCAGAACCTCATGCAAAGCCGAGAGTGGGGAGATGGTAAAAATGCCAGTTGTAGAGATTGAGAAGAGTTTAGTCTTTTCTGATGTCCTTTGCTGCTTTATTGTTTTTGTCAACAATGATTATTTTGACCTTCGAGTGTATGCTGTCTGCTGTATATTCAAATATATTAGAATAATTAGTTTGACCTTGCAGTGTATTGTGTGTAATTCATCTCTCAAAATAATAG